CCTTGCTGTTTTTTCCAGCCCGGATGGATCTCTGTGAATAGTGCACGGTGTGGGAGACGCCGCTCAGGCATTCGTAGGACATGCCCTAGCCACCTATGACGATGAAGTGAAATTATTTGTTCAACGGAAGATTATCGGACCCTGTCACACGTCGATTAACTTCATCTTTATTCACGCGATGCTCCTCCCATAGACGGGCGATGATGCGCCGATAACATTCGTCGAATACGAATAGTCGTTGGACATGATCTGCTCGAATATGCTTGGTTTCTCAGCCATGGAACAACATAGTGCGTACCGTTGAGCAATTCACACACCCTTTCAATGAAAGGGATATGTCGCGCCGGCGTCAGAGATGCCGCAGATTAGCAAACGCTAATCTAGTTTTGATCACATGTTAAGAGATCTCTTCACTCACACCTCCGCCAGCCGTTATGCTACTCCCGAGGTAGACAAAGCATTCTACTACTGGTCGTTTTAGTCTATTGTAGATGGACTGCGAACGTCTTTCAAGAAAAATATTCTATCGGTCAAATGTTACGCATTACGCCCTGTCTAAATCAGACAACCTTTTGTTTCTGTTCTGTTGGACATCCTGCAGCACGTCCCAGCTCAGGTAACCGAAAATAGTCACGGTATGTGTATGGAAGATATTCGCACATTTACATTGGTCAATCAATACGAATACCACACCAATCCAAATTTATGATTGTCGTCCATCGATTTTGTTGTATATTGTCAACCAGTCTATCAAAGTTGCTTCCCCAAATCGGTAGAAACAATTGTGCGCCACTGGCCATTTTGTAGAATCGGTATTGTTGAAGAAAATCATTTTTGTTCGCCGTCCTTCTTGATACCTACCGCCAGTTAGTTCACCGAATCCAACCCGATTGAGAGATGTCCGGGAAGTAACTCAGAATCATATGCATGTGAAAAACGCAATTAGCTATTTTTTCGTTCAAAACCTCTCCACTCCACTTATTTCTGTGCAAATTATTTCTATTTATCATTTTTTAAATTATTTAACCTTGATTTGTTGGACACAGTATGAAATAAAATACTACATAATATAATAATAATAATAATAATAATAATATAAATTAGTTATTGTCATAAAGGACATTTCAAATGTAAAAGAAGTATGATCAGATGGACTCAAAAGCTCAGTATCATTTACTTATCGTATGGGTATGTGAATTAGTTTTTCACGGTGTGATTAATCTGAACAAGGCAAATGGTTTTCAGAAGAAGACATTATTCTTTTATTGGAAGACTCCTCTGGTTCAAGTCCCCGCAGGTGATTCAAGCAACTTTTTTGGCAGGAAGATTATATAATTATATGTCGTAATTTATTGAATGTCTAGTTTTCTTCCGTGTCGTGTTTTCCTGGTGGTAATATGTAGGCTTCGTATAAGTTATTCATACTGCGTGAATACAATGTTTTTCAAACAACTTTTTTCTAAAAGGTCGCATAGTTTGGGGATGATTTTGAAGTTTAAGACGGTCAACTTGTACTTATTTAAAAGTAAAGATATTTGAACAAAGTCCTATCGAGGGTAGAAATTCAAATAACCAGTGGAAACATTGCCTTCTTCATTTACAAAAACATCACCAACGCACATCTGGCTAATCCGCTAAGACTTCAGTGTGTACATAGCTGCTGGACAATCGGACAACCAATGCCAATAAAACTAAAAATACTGAAATAGAAGACAACCCGACGCGATAGAAAGTGAAATAAACTGGCTACGGCAACCCATTCAGGCTCGATTTATTTTCAACAATCATCATATTCGTGCTTTTTGTGTTTTATTGTTTTCTTTCTGCCTAATCCATCTGTTCAATCAAAGATGACGCATTTGAACCAAATAAAGAACAGTAAAAGAGCTACCGAAACAATAATGTGGCACTTAGATAGGTTTCCTGCTGTTACGGAACATTAGTTGGATCGCCCCCAAGGGCTAAAATCAATATGCTTGACATCGAACAGAATATGTTTCCACAGACTACAATGAATTGTTCGTCAGTCATTGAGATTTAACTGTAAGCAATGAGTTTACCAAGCTAGCTTGAGTCAGGCTTAAATGAAAAAAATTGGACATCGGTTGAAACGTGTGGTTTAAATAGTGAATAACGTGTTGCTGTTTCGTTGTGGGTAGCTTCACTAGGTGGGATCTTTCAGCCATTTCGGTTGACATGAGTCAGACAAACCTTGATCATTTTCTTAATGATTTGTTAACCATCATTACCTACCGGTTTTTTATCTTTTCAAGAATTTTGGTTATAAATATCATGTACTTTTGTATATTTGCTATATGTATATATATAACCAACCTTTCAATTGGAGCCCTAAACTCATTGAAATTGTTACACGGTCATACTCACTGTCTCAACAGAACTTACGATTTCAGGATGAAACACACTGATCAAACCATTTGTATCAACTAACCCACTGAATTGATGCACCAGGTTGGTATTGGTCGAGAGCTGCATCGGAAGTCTGTACTAGAGAAGAGTTGGTGATGGTTTGTGTAGAACTTTTAGTAGTTGCACTTTGATGTGTAATGAGCAGTGGGAGAAGGTAATCCTTATAGATACAAGAACCACAGCCAACTCATGAGCTTAACAGATCCATCCATTTTATCTCTTTTTGTTTGAATGAGCAGAGCAAAACAATCTCATGGGTAGAATTCTGATGGTTTTGTTTTAACACACACCAAAATCGCTTGCGAACACAGTTGCATTAAAGCTTAGTTCCATCCAAATGAGTGTGTCGCAGGAGTTGTTCTTCTGTCCATGGGAACTCTAGTCAGTGATGATATGATGATGATGATAAACAAACATGTTTTAGTATTGTACCGAATACCGAATTAGATAGGGAACCGTAACACTACTGATTGGGATGCAATGTTCAATGTTGAACAGTTAAAGGCAAGGAAAACCTCTCGTATAAGCCACATCGTAAGTGGCTCAAGGTATGCATTCAAGTCTGAACTACATACCAATTTTCACGAAGAACGCAGTCGAACTTCCTCTTTAACTTGCTAGCGTTGGCTTCGTCCATCCCATTATCTGGTAGGGTATTCCATAGTTTGATTACCCTAAGAGACAAGAGGTCTGACAAGAGCTCTGGTCGCTTTTGATCACGGAGGATACGACGCACACATATGATGCCGTCATGAACTCGGCTATATAAATTTGGGAACAGTCCTGTAGCCTGCAAGCGTTCAGTGTAGCATTGTCCACGTAACCCGGCAATAAAGAGAGTGACAGTTCGTTGATCCCTCCCCAACTTCATAAATTTGGCTGTTTTGAACGGGTATACCGCGGAGCTAGCAAACTCTCATCGAGGTCAAACATGAGAGGTGTGAAGTGTCCTAAAACCGTTGAATGAAAATACAAAAAAGGAATGGCGAATAGTTCCGAGAATTTTCAAACTCGAGGCATAGGCTTTATTTGTCTGTCCCGTGGTTTTAACCGAACTGGAAACGAGTACTCTAAAACCCCGTTTACATGCGGATGCCAGTGAGGGAGTGTTAAGAAGGTGATACACTCTTGGACTGAGCGACCAATCAAGGGGTGAACATCATCTAGACCAGAAGATTGGTATGGACGAAGTGCAGGTGGTGCCTTAGCCACCTCATTGGCTTTGGGTTAGGGGGCATTCCCTGGGAGTACCTCAAGAGATTGTGAACACAACATTCTGTGAATGGCTGGGGGTGTCGAGTTTGATGTATCCTTTCCTGCATATACCGAGGTATAGTAGCCGGAAAGCACAAGCCTACATCAGTGACAGCAATGATACTATTCGCTATAAGACTGAAAAGTACGGGCACTGACCTGGTCCTTGTTTCAAGTAGGCAAACAACCTCTTCTGTACCAAAACAACTTTTACAGCTAGACGCTCCTCAAAGGTACAGTATTTGGCCATCTTATTTGCCAAGGCCTGGTTCCTGATGAGCTTATACACCTGATAGCCAACGTGTGATGTACAATAGTGCTTCCGAGCTCGATTTTGCTTAGGGAGCATACTTCTGATTTCGCGATCGAACCAGAGTCGCCCCTTCGCATGAGGTCGAGTCTTACGCATAAGGACGAACCTTTGTATCAACTACGGTAACTCAGTAAGAGCGCTGTTTTCCCATTCTTAGCAATAACCACACCTATAATTTGCTGATTTACAGATTAGATGTCACGATGATAGAGCCAGTTAAGTGAAATAAAATGGAATTTGTTGAAAAAAGTAGGAAATGCTACTCATTTTGAGTGACTTAATTCCTGAATATATAACCATGCAACGCGAGCGTCACCGTTAAGTCACCAGGTAGTCACCTTTAATTAACCCGAGAGTTACCGAAAATCATGACTTTCGGTGACTGTCATCATTATATCATTGATAGTTTTATGCCACTACAATCTTCATAAATTACTTGAACGAATTATTACTCAAAAACAAGGGATTGTTAATTATGATTACAATGGTGAAATCAATATAGAGCTCACATTAACTCTCTCTCTTGTACACTTTTACTTCTATGAATTATGGTGATATTCTTTTACATTTTCATTTCACAGATACTGTATACCGTCACCGAATCAGTGAGTATATCTCTCAAAAGAGAACATGAATACTGAAGATATTTATTCATAATCACCGACAAAACGGTCAATTTTGTGCATATATGTGCACAAAAGTGACCAGCATACCGGGCTTTGTTTCCTAGTGGCACGTCGTCAGAGGATGGCACGCTATTATACAAGAACTCATTTATAATATATTTGTCGTACTACATTCTTATTCGTTTTATTTGAGGGGACAAAATGGTATGGGCCTATCGATAGACACTGAATAACCAAATGTTTGACTGATAGGATCAAGTCAAGAGCTTTGAATGTAGGTCGGCCAATTAGGTGAAAACTACATAGGTTATGTTGATGGGCAATACACGAGGTAGTTTTATTAAGACAAACGTCGAAATTGGATAAAGGAGTAAAGTAGTTTACTTTACTTTACTGGCTCACCTAGGTCCTGTTAGGCTCCCTGGATAGAGACCCAGAGATCACGGTCACCGGTGGTCAGAGACACTGAGCAATATAGATGGGTGTCGAAAACAGTGGCACTCATGCATCTACTCATTATTCTTGTAACTTCAGTCTATGAAAATGTGCTACCTTTCACTTAAATCTGCCCTCAACATTCTAATCGTCATTCTGCTGTTTTATCCACATGGGCAATTAAAAGACAGTAACCAAAACTGGAGCACGAAGTTGCATGGTTAATGGTTGTAAGAACTGAACTTTCATTGCTTATTGATAATATGGGGCCGTTTCAGGGGTGACCGAAAACACGCGCAAAAGCACTTTGAAGTGCCTGTCGCAAATTCGCGTGTTTAGGGAAATTTTGCTAGGAAAGTTCGCTAGGTAGGACGCCGCATACTGCGTTATTCTCGCGTATTTTCTGGCAGTGAATCTGAACTTACCAGCCGGTACGCTCATGGCTCTTATAAAGGTTGAGTTGAAAATGTTTAACAACAGAGTAGATGTATTTTATCCTGATTGTAGTAAGACGTTTGACTCGGTCAATCAACGCCTTCCATTCGTCAAAATGAAGGGACAAATACAACAATGGCTAAGGAACCTCGTCATCAACAGGAACTTCTACGTCAAAGTAGGTGACAAGTGCTCCCGTATAGGATAGTAGCAAGTTCGCACTTCCTCATGAGGAATGACTGCAGTAATCGGGTAGTAAACCTATGGAACGAACTTCCAGAAGAGCTAGTAGAACTACAGACGGGTCCAACCTTTAAGCTAGCTCGAGATCAAAGGTGGGCCCAGAAACTACGCGTTAGATTTATTATATATATAATAATTGTATACTTGGAAATCATAATACAGACCTAATATAATATAATATTAATTTTGTATTATAATTGCCAACAATCTAAACGTATCCAATACCTTTTTTATTTTACTTGCAGATGAAAATTTGGCAACAGGAGATGAAAACCTAAGCTTGTACATACTTATTATTAATTATGTAAATAGATTTTTCCATCATCATCCGTGCAGTTTAATTTCAAAAAAGGCAATATGTTTGGGACAGATCGTGCATTGATTAGGACGTTGGAACCAACGGGAACGATAGACTTCATAGAGTAAGCATATCATCGTAGTATATGGCGATGTAGACAACTTTCCGATTTTAGAAGACACTAGCTCGATGAAAAGAACCATGAATATTAGGAATTTGAGAGTTTTTGAACGTATGGCGGTAGTGCTCGAGGCAGATCGCGTAATAATAAGGATTCGGCAGAATTCAATGAAAAGAGTTCCGGGTGTTGGCGGTGACGGTTGGCGAACAACGTGTAATTGTTTTTTTGTTTGGAAAGCATTTTTTCGCGTTAAAGTGAACGTAGTAGTAAGTGCAGCGGGTGCTTTCCGGCTAATTTACTTGTAAATAAGGGAAGAATTTCATGATTAGCACATTCTATAGCGTTTCAATAGGCATCGATTTGATTTCGGGGAAAAGAAAAGCTACAGTGATTTATTATTGTTTGGTGGAGTTCATTCAAGCGCGAGAATCGTTATAAATGGATTTTTGAAAAGTATGAACCAATTTCTATTTTTCCCACAGTCACCGAGCTTATTCAAGAGTACGAAACGGTGACTCTCAGGTGACTGTAAATGACTATCCGGTGACTGTGAGGTGACTCATCGATGACTCAATGGTGACTGTGGTTCTGCTTGGTCAAGCAGTACCACAATCACTGCCCTAAAGGGATAGCTAACCCGCTAGCGTTTCTCGCCGAGCAGGTGAGATGAGTGGTCCTTTCTTTTCTAGCAGGACAAATGAAGGATTACTCCATACATTAGTGGGAACGTCCGTGAACATATCGCTGTGAATATATTCACCCCGATATATATATATATATCGGGGTGATATCGGAGTTGTGGATTTGGTTTTAAAAGTCAAGTATCTGTTCAAACTTATACAAATCGAGACACTATTTATTGAGATTGACGCTCTACTGAAATAAGAAACATGTGCTTCTTATTTCACGAACCGTACGGTGTGATAAAACGAAGTGTACCACTACACTATAGCATATGCTATACGTATTGTTAGCATTGAGTATGCTTATTATCAAGTATAATTATTGCCAGAAATTTGCTAGCAATAATTTATTATTAAATGCATTTAACAAAGCGATACTGACTCTTTCTCATTGTAGCAACAGGCCTGCTCCGATAATTGAAATTGTGTATAAATAACTTTTAACTATGACAACTCAAGGTCAGGTCAGGACAGGACAGTTCACAGGACTTGCAGCTTCAGCCAGTGAGGTAGTCCAGGTTCTTGCGTTTACGGGCCACGGGTGTCTCGTAACGCTACGACAGTTGGTCAGGTCAGGTCAGGTTGCACAGGACTGATAGTGGCCACAGGCCAATCACGCGTCCAGAATTCCTTCGGTGGTATGCCCTCGAGTATGCATCCACTGAACTGACCTTGAACCCGCGTGGCTTGAATTTCGGAGCAAGGAAGAT